CAGCTGATAACGGCGGTAAATGGGCCAACGGATGAGGACAAAGCCAGCTTTGAAACACTGGAGGAGCTTCAGTGGTTTATCACAGTTTTATCAGCCGAGACACTGAATCACATTTGTACCTGTGCGTGCTGCAGCTTGTTAGGATCAGGATAAGATGATCCTTTGGGATAAAATATGCCCCTTCACTACAATAACCATACACATACACACGTCTCCCTGATGCCGTACCACATCCATCAGCTGGTGTGTGACTGAGAGGCTCCAGTGGATTTGATAAAATTGTGACATTTAATAACTGAGGAATGAAAACAACATCTGTCTCCAACAGGTTTCTGTATGTGAGATTAGGATTACAGTGGATCCTCTGAGTTTGTTACTATTCTGCAGTTTGAAGTTTTGAATTCTTTTGTTTGATTTGTTGCAGCATCACTGAGTCTTTGATTTTCCTCCTAAGAACTTCCTGTTTTGTGTGTTCTGGTTCATGATGTTGCCTTAATGTTTTGACTTCTCATCTTACTGCATAGTTGTGCATGCCAATTAATTATATAATTTACTTTGCTTGTAGTAAGTTGTGAATTCTTGGTCTTTGTTTTGAGTTTATTTCTCGGGTGTCTCACCTGCAGAGGCCACAGGGTGACGTTGATGTCCCCGTTGATGCCGTCAGGCTGAAACATCGTCGGAGCTGCTCCGGTCGTGAACGACAACATGGCTTTTTTATCCTTAGAGGAAATATAACATAGTGTTGGATAACCAGACCAAAACACGTCCACAAAGAAAAGCTCTTTATTTTATCAACACCAAGTTTTCCAATAATTTTCAAACATATGCACAGAAATTCCTTTGTTGTCTTTTGCTTTTTATCTCTGAAACATGAGCGCATCACCTGACTGTCCCACCTAAATGTAGGTTAAATCGATAAATCCAGACTGATATTAATGGAGTTGGTTGTGTTATTTGTTGCATCCTTCTAATGATTTGGTGTTCTCTGTTGAAACGTACCTTGAATATCCCGTTATCGTACATCTTTTCCAGGGAGAAAGCGAAGCCCTGTGACAGCACTCTGTCTATCCAGCCCTTCATGACGGCGGGAAAACTGAACCAGTACAAAGGAAACTACAGAAGGAAAAAATAATGTTGTTATTAATACCATTCAGAGTTTTATTATTCTCAGTCA